CAATGGGTGACAAAGCAATTTGGCTATTTTTTGCAACGCTATATTGAGATGCCTGAGAAAAAAGCCAGTTTGTACTTTTGTCATCGTGAGGATTTTTATCAATCAAATGGCTATCAAAGTTTTTATCCAACAATCACAGATACTTTGTAATCCTAGCTTAGGGTCGTATGGGTAATTGCTGATATGTCAAAACACACACCACAGTCACTGTCAAATTCTGCTGTGATTTTTTCGCTCCTACTTGGCGGTGTAGTCGTCAGTCTCAGCAACAGTGCATTAAGCCCCGCTATCCCACTGTTTATTAAAGTGTTTGGTGTTCCACTAGTGAGCGCTAGTTGGGTATTAAATGCTTATGTGATTGCCATGGCAATCGGGCTAATCATGGTGAGTTATTTAGCGACAATTTTTGTCCGAAAAACATTGTATTTGACTGCCCTTGCGGTCTTTGGTTTGGGGTCAATGATGGGTTATTTTTCACCCAGTGTTGATTGGGTGATTGGGGCAAGGTTTTTACAGGGTCTACCACATCAGCGTCAAGGTCAGACGATGGGGCTGTGGGGTATGGTGGTGATGTTGGGTTTGGCAGTTGGTCCATTGGTTGGGGCGTACTTGGTCAAGTGGTATGGCTGGGATGCGTTGTTTATTATCAATTTGCCTTTGATGGGATTGGCATGGGCTTTGGTCTGGCATTATCTACCACATCAGCAAGCTAAAATCCAGCAACGAAACTTGGATAAAAAAGGCTTGTTAGGGCTCTGTTTTTTGTTACTGGGTGGTTTTGTGTGGGAGCGTGTGGCTCATCAATATACTGCTCAATTTTCTGAGTGGATGATGGTTGCCATGATCGGACTGGGTGGGATACTGAGTTATGGTAGCTATCGTTGGGGGGTCTTTTTTTTTGTGGCTCTATGAATATCACCATGCGACCCCTTTGTTACAGATAAGCATTTTTGATAATCGTATCTATCGCTATTGCACCATTATCAGTGTGACGCAAACCATCGGCTTGATGCTGTATTTAATCTTGTTGCCAATGCTGATACAACAAGTCATGCACCACCCTGCCACATGGACGGGGTGGGTGTTGATGGCATCAACCTTGATAGCCAGTGTTACCACGCAATTAGTGGGCAAAATTGTTGACAAGCAGGGTGCTAGATTGCTCGGTTGTTGGGGTGTGATATTGACCGCATCAGCAAGTTTTGGTTTGGCTTGGCAGTT